GTCCTCTGCACTGGGGTGCCCTGGGGTCCTCTGCACTGGGGTGCCCTGGGGTCCTCTGCACTGGGGTGCCCTGGGGTCCTCTGCACTGGGGTGCCCTGGGGAATATGTCTGGTTCTCTGCAGTTCTGCTCTGGTGGTTGCAGGGGTGGGGAACGTTTTTCTGCCTATGGCCATTTGGATACTGATGATATCATGATGGGCTGTACAATTATGAGAAACACGTGCGTCTGTCTTGCCACGTCCCGCTTGATTTTGCAGGCCCCATACTGCTGGTGGGCCGGACATCCCTCACCTGGGATAGTTCAGAACACTGGGGCCTGGGGATGTGGGTCAGGATTTACATGGGGGAGATAAGCCTGCAGGTGAGGGGCTCTCACCTCAGCGGGGTGAGGTGCTGAGAGCGTGTCTGCAAGTCCACACGGTTGCAGGTAGAGGCAGTAGGTGGGTTTCTTTGTGACTGTAAAGGACACTGCTCTCTGGAGCTTTACCCAGAACCCAGGCCTGGGCACTCTGTGAGCAAGACACCTGTTGTTTGCCTGAAGGGGCAGAAATGTTAGTCTAGAGCCAGGCGCTGGTGGCTCTCGCCTGTGATCCTGGCTACTCAGGAGGCTGAGATCTGAGGATCACAGTTTAAAGCCGGCCTGGGCAGGAAAGTCCATGAGACTTTTGCACTGTCCCTGAGTTCAAGCCCCAGGACTGGCAAAAATAAAAATAAAAAAACAGGGCTGGGTAGGTGGTAGAGTGCTTGCCTAGCATGCATGAAGCCCTGGGTTCGATTCCTCAGTACCACATACTCAGAAAAAGCCAGAAGTGATGCTGTGGCTCAAGTGGTGTTAGCCTTGAACAAAAGAAGCTCAGGGACAATGAACAGGCCCTGAGTTCAAGTGTCCCTTCCCCCAAAAAAAATTCAGCTTAGGACATGCCAACCAGCATCTACCTGTGCCTGGGAGCTGGACTAGAGGTTGCTTTCTGACCTGCAGGATGGCCCTGAAGATTGTTTACTTGTGGGGTTTGTGTGTGTGTTATTGTTACTGAAGTCTCTGGAATCAACATTTACAAAAGCTAGGAGAAATCTGTAGGTTGTGGAACATGGGCCAGGGTTCACGTCTGAAGGTTAGATGGCTACAGGCTGTTTGGAGTCTCAAGAAAATGCATGCATCCAGGCAGTGACACATCCCCTTTTCTCTACCCCTGCCTGACTTGCACTGGCTGTCTGAGGTTCCTGCTGGTGAGGGGAGCCCTCCAGTCCTCCCTACTGCTCCTCTGCATGCCCACAGCCCAGGGAGGCACCTGAGGGTCAGAGAAAACGAACAAAACAAAACCACACAGCCAGGAGCTAATGGAGAAAGGCACAATTTATTGGTCTTGCAGACTTTGGCTCATGGAATTGAGGGGTATGTGTGTATCCTCCTACTCTAGCAGTTTCTGGGTTTAGTTTCCTATATTCATTTTTTTTCTTGTTTCTTTTTGTTCATTCGTTTTTTAAGACAGGGTCTCCCTCTGTAGATCAGGCTAGCCTAGAACTTGCTGTGAGGCCCAGGCTGGCCTTTTATGATCCTTCCACCTCAGCCTCCCGAGTGCTGGGATTACTTACAGGTGGAAACCACCATACCCAGCAAGAATTCTATTCTACCAACCCCACAACCCAACATCTCACAACATCACTAGTTTGTTCTAGGATCCAGAGACATAGGGCTGAAAGTCACAGAGTACGGAGAGGAGGCTGAGTTGTTCAAGAGCCTGAGTCCAGAGGCCTACGCTGGTTATCCGCCAGGCTAAAGGGTGACCAACAGTAGAAATCCTTCCTTCGTGGGACAGTGGTGCGGGGCTCCAGTCAGCCCGGGGCATGGCTGCCTCCAGCACTGCACAGGGAGCCTGGCCCATTGGCCGGGGGCTTACGATCTCTCCAATGGGGAGTTGGAGCCTCCAGGCAAGCAGATCCCTGTCCTCCACGTGGGCCGTGCTGGACCTCCAGGCCTTAGCTACAGCAGGTGGCATCAGGGATGCAGGACAGGGTCACTTGAGACTCTTCAGCCACCTCCAGCCGAGCCCCAGACTGGCGCCAGCACCACAGGTCCTCTTAATGCTTTGTCCACACCATCAGGACACACAGCCTTCTTGAGCTGGTGCTCCTGGCTGGCTAGAGCCTCAGCTCAACATCACGGTCGACAATGTCTGTAAAGTACTTTGCATTGCAATTGGCCCACGGTGCGCATACCACCGATGTGGGTGAACAATTATTATTATTATTATTAATATTATTATTTCTATCTCCACCATCAGAGGGTTCTTCAGTTCTTTTCATTAACAGAGTGACCTGAACTGGCCTCTGAGGTCCCAAGTACCACATCTAAGCAGGGACCTGGGGGGCGCGGCTGTGCACTGCCTAGCTGGGGTGGTTTCCTTTTGGCCTCAGCCCAGTGTCCAGTGTCCAGTGTCCAGCCAGCCAGCAAGCTCCTCAGCCCCACAGAAGCAGGGCCCTTCACAAAAAAAAAAAAAAAAAAAAGGAAAGCCTTGCACAGGAAGTCAGGTAGGAGGGGCCAGGAGGACCCGGGGAGAGGCTCTGATTGGCTCCTGCTGCTCTTCTGGGTTCCTTGGCCGCTGCTCACAGAGGGCTTCACTGTAGGATGAGGAGAGAGAGGGGTGTTCAGGGCCTCATTCGACTAGGTGGCCCCCTACTACCAAAGACCCATGTTGTGGGCTGGGCGACTCCCTTGGACATGAAAAGTCAGCCTACGCTGTTCTAAGTACTTTAAACATATACTTATCTATTTATTTATCGTCAGTTGTAGGGCTTAAACTCTGAGCCTGGGCCCTATCCCTGAGCGAGCCACTTGAGCCACGGTGCCACTTCCGGTTTTCTGGTGGTTAATCGGAGATAAGAATCTCGAAGAGGGCTGGGAAGGTGGCTCAGCGGTAGAGCGCTTGCCTTGCATGCATGAGGCCCTGGGCTCGATTCCTCAGCACCACATAAGCATAAAGAAAAAAGCCGGGAGTGGGGCTGTGGCTCAAGTGGTAGAGTGCTAGCCTTGAGCTGAAGAGCTGAGGGACAGCGCCCAGGCCCAGAGTTCAGGCCCCACAACTGGACCCCCCCCCCAAAAAAAGAAAAGAGTCTTGAAGACTTTCTTACCCAGGCTGGCTTCGAACTGCAATCCTCAGATCTCAGCCTCCTGAGTAGCTAGGATTACAGGCTAGAGTCATGGGTGTTGCCCCTGAGCTTTTTTGCTTGAGGCTAGTGCTCTATCACTGAGCCACAGTGGCATTTCTGGTTTTCTGGTGGTTAATTGAAGGTAAGAGTTTCACAGACTTTCCTGCCCGGGCTGGCTTTGAACCATGATCCTCAGATCTCAGTCTCCTGAGTAGCTAGGATTACAGACCTGAGACACCAATGTGCAGCTCTTTAAACATATTCTAATTCATTTGCACATGTTATTTGCAATTAATATGAGATTACTGGTAGCATAGATAACATATAAACTGAGAAATGCATAATTACATAAAAATGAGACTATAGAGCGGGTTGCTCAGGCCTGTAATCCTAGCTACTCAGAAGGCTGAGATCTACAGGACCACGGTTCCAAGCCAGCCCAGGCAGAAAAGACGATGAAATTCTCATCTCCAATTACTTGGCAGAAAGTTGGAAGTATGGCTTAAGCTGTACAGTGCCAGCCTTGAGCAAAGAAGATAGGCAAAGCTGGGCACTGAGGATTGAGGTTCAAAGCCAGCCCTGGCAAGAAAATCTACGAGACTCTTATCTCCAATTAACTAGCAAAAAACCTTGAGCAAGAAAGACAAGCAAGAGCGTGAAACCCTAAATTCAAATACCAATAACAGCCCAAAGAAAGACCTAAGTGCGAATGTGAAGTCCTAAGTTCAGGCCCTAATACAGGCACACACACAAAAATAGCTAGCATACAATAATAATACCAGATGTGATAATAATCCTAATTCTCCCTATAAATCTGTAAGACAGATACTATTAATAACCCCATTTTACAGATAAATAAACTGAGGTTTAAGGCACAGAGTCAGGAAGAGAGCAGAAATTTAAATCCAATACAGCACTGGGGGTCTGTAGCTCAGTGTCTAGTGTGCATAAAACCCTACGTTTGACCCCAGCAACTGGAAAAAAATGAACAAGTTTTTTTTGTTTTGTTTTTGCTTGTTTGTCAGTCACGGGGCTTAAACTCTGGCCCTGGGCGCTGTCCCTCAGCTCTTCAGCTTAAGGCGAGTGCTTTTACCATTTGAGCCACAGCACCACTTCTGGTTTTCTGGTAGTTTACTGGAGATCAGAGTCTCAAGGACTTTCCTGCCTGGGCTGGCTTTGAACTGTGATCCTCAGATCTCCGCCTCCTGAGTAGCTAGGATGACAGTGTGAGCCACTCTTCTCCTTTTCTTTGTTCAGTGCTGGGTATTAAAGTCAGGGTTTGAGCATGCTCAGCAGGAGCTCTGTCAGCCGCACTGCATGCCAGCTCCCAGAATCTATTCTGAAGCATTTAGTTTTTCTCAGATTTAAAAAACAAAAAAACAGGCTGGGAATGTGGCTCAGTGGTAGAGTGCTTGCCTAGCATACATGAAGCACTGGGTTCGATTTCTCAGTACCATATAAACAGAAAAAGCCAGAAGTGGTGCTGTGGCTCAAAGTGGAAGAGCACTAGCCTTGAGTGAAACAGCTCAGGGACAGTGCCCTGGCCCTGAGTTCAAGCCTCATAACTGGCCAAAAAGAAAAAAAAATCCACGGGGCTGGCAAAGTGTCTCAAGCAATCGAGTGGCATGGCCCTGACTTCCAACCCCTCAGCAAATGAATCATAAATAATCTAGGCTCATTTCCTTCCAATTAGCCTCTTCCTTGGGGTCTGGTTCAGTCCCTCCTCTGTGCTTTTCAATCACAGTGCAGGCATTGTGAAGTCAATGCCCCTGGGGACAAGTAGCCCTGAGTTCAAATCCAGACTCCAACCCCAACGACCACTCACACATACACATGCATGCACATATATGTTCACGCATTCGAACACACCTGCATGGCGGTCCTGCCAAGTACCGCATCTTCAGGCCGGTGCTTGTGGTGCGGGAGCTCTGTGTTGTCGCGGTAGTCCCGGGCCTTGGAATGCTGCAGCTGCAGGACGGCCAGGCTCTTGGCGGGCAGTGGAGGCCGAGGCGCTGGGGTCGGGGTCCCCTGCTGGCTCATGTCTGACCTGGAAGGCTTGATGGGCCTCTTGGCTGGCACCGGGGCGTGGGAGACGGCTAGGGTCTTGGGCTTCCCTTGGTTCTTGTCCCCGCTGGTCATCCTGCCCTCAGTGGTGGAGGAGGAGCAGGTGAAGGAGCGGAGCCTAGGCGCAGGGCTGAGGAAGGGCGTGGGGGCCTGCTTGCTACCCTCCGTCTCCTGGGCTTTGGTGAGCAAGATGCTGGGTGATGCGATGCCAGGGTCTGGGCAGGGTGGAGGCTCTTTCGGCGGCATCTTGGAGGTCTCTTGCTCTTTCCTGGTTACCAGCTTAGGGAAAGAACTCACAGATCCATACAATGGGTTCTCAAACATCTCTGGCTTGGCGAGCTGCAGGTCCTCCTGCAGCTGAGTGTCAGTGGACCTAGAGCTGTGAGGAGAGGAGGGAAGTGAGCAGGGAAGACAAGTACTCAGAAGACTGGACGCCAGGAGTCAATGCTTCGTGGGTCTGGGCTTTTAGCTTGGGCTGCTAAAAAGGTTCTGAACTAAACAGAGGCAGTGGTTGTGTAGAGTGTATGTTTATTATTGCTCATTATCTATGAATTGCGTCTCAATAACAGATTTGAACGTTGTAAGATAACTAAGAGGAAACAGTAGTGTGTGAGTCTGTGTCCTCACAGACAAACTCAGTTCTGGCCTGAGCCGTTTCCACCACAGTCCACACCAGAGTGAGGGGCCTTCGGTGGATGTTTTGTAGAGAGGAAAAGGTAAATTTACATGACACCCCATCCTCCATAAACAAGCTGGCCTGCCCCGTCCTCTCAGTGCTGATAGACCTCTCTCATGGCTCTTCCAGGACACTTACAGCCATTTCTCCCTGGCAATTCTGCTCAGCCCCTCACCTGCATGGATGCTCAAGGAACCAAAGCCTGGCAAAGGATGAGTGGCCATTGGCTCCCCATCAGCAAGCACTGTGCTATTCGAGGAGGTGGAGGGCAGATGCTCCCTCTGGCAAACCCGCAGCAAGCTATGTAGGAGATGCTCCCAAAGAAAGCAAAGCTGCCAGGCCCCAGAGAACAAAACCTGTGACCGTGTAGCTGATTTTGGAGTAACACAGTACTCCTTCCAATGGCATAAAGTCCTCTCCTCAGAGGCCCTTGGGAATATAGTTTCCTTCAGAGCAAGGAGGAACAAAAAGCAGATGGTGCAAAATCAAAGGACACTTGGCGAGCTGCAAGTACTGAGGAAACAAAGACCAGTGGCAGGAGAAAGATGCAGCTGATTGGTAGGTAGAGAAGGAACAGAATTCCTCCTGGAAACCCAAAGGAGATGGACGTGGCAGTTTTTCACCCGCCTCTGCTTCTTTCTGACTCGTCACAATGCTGGCTTGCGGTAACTTCCTGTTGAGCAATTTATGAGAACAGGAAATGGGAGCAGTTTACTTTCTGGCCAATGGCATCATCTCCTGGAGCAGTGTTCTGGGTTCTGCTTATTGAAAGAATTCCATCTGAACCATATGTGGGTTCCTGGTCCCCTGTCCAGCTATGACGCTCATTACTGAGGGGCTGTTGGGAAGTACTGCTCAGAATCGTCCTGTGGGGCTGTAGGGACAGGGCAGGAAGTCCTCACACAGGTACAAAAGAGAAGAGAGGCATGGGGGCTTCCAGGAAGGCCAGCCCGAGGGGCATGATGCAGTTCACTGCAGCCTGAGGGGGATTTGCTCTGACTTTCTGGTAACACCTAGAAGCCATTGCATGATTCGAAGTGTGAAAGCCTTGACATAGTTCTGGAAGGCAGCCCCCAGTCTCCAGCGGCCTCCTGCAGCCTGCCTGGATCCTTTGTAGACCTATACTTCTGTGGCAAGTGATTGAACACCAACCTTGGGCAAAATAGCTAAGTGATAGCACCCAGGTTCCGAGTTCAAGTCCCAGTACCAATACACACACACACAAGTGGCACCAACCAGTTAGAACATGTAAAGTTCCAACAGCAGGTCCCAGGTGCTAGCAGTGGGCAGAGACCCAATCCCTTCCTCAAGGCTGCCATTCTGAAGGAAATAGCCAGGGGGCACCCGTGAGCAGCAAAGGATTCTCACCTTGACTCCTGTGCTCTGGGGCAGGGACCCCTGTTTGCTGTGGAGGATGAAAACTTCTTGGGTGATAAGGGTGGTTGGGAGGGAGGGGTAAGGGGACCCTCTCCTCTCCCAGGCCCCAGGGAGGGGTCCTTGGGCTGCTGATCGTAGCTCCAGGCTGTGAGCTGTTGGTCAGGAGACAGGCTCTGTTTCCCATGCAGGGGCTGCCCGAAGCGTCCCACACCCATGTAGTTGGGGTTGATGATCTCTGTGAAACCGGAGGCACCGCTTGGAGGGGCCCTGTGGGAGGAGGGAGAGGCAGCTCTTAGCACCAGCCTGAGGATGGGGTCCTCTCTGCTATCCCTCATGCAAATATGCATGAAATGCATGGACTGGAGCATGAAATGCTCCAGCCTTGGGCCAGGGGGAGGGCATAAGGTCATGGACAAGGCAGCCATTGCCTCTGTTCTCAGGGAACTCACAGCAACCAAGTTCAGTGGCATTTCCACTGTGCTGAGGTTTGATTGACAGGAACAACGGGCAGGGTTAAGATAAGCAGGGCAGAAGGGGGTTGGATGTGGACATTTGAGGAGAGGGTCCTTGAGCTGATTAGAAGGTACTCAGGCCTGGCACTGGTGGCTCACGCCTGTAATCCTAGCTACTTCAGAGGCTGAGATCTGAGGATCGCCAGCTGGGGCAGGAAAGTCCAATGGGCCTCTTATCTCCAATTAACCACCAGGAAAACTGGGAGTGGTGCTGTGGCTCAAAGTGGTAGAGTATGGCTGGGAAGGTGGCTCAGTGGTAGAATGCTCACCTAGCATGCATGAAGCTGTGGGTTCGATTCCTCAATACCACATACACAGAAAAAGCCAGAAGTGGCACTGTGGCTCAAGTGGTAGAGTGCTAGCCTTGAGCAAAAGAAGCTCAGGGACAGTGCCCAGGTTCTGAGTTCAAGCCCCAGGACTGGCAAAAAAAAAAAAAAGTGGTAGAGTGCTAGCCATGAATGAAAAAGCTCAGGGATAGTACCCAGGCCTAGTTCATGCCCCACAACTGACCAAAAAAATAAAATAAAAGATACACAGAAAAGAGAGAAGGGAGGATGTTCTCACTAGTGGCCAAGAGCAAGTACAAGAGCCCAGAGGTAGAGGGGGCTCAGCCTGTCCCAAGCTGATCTGAAGGCCAGCCATCCGAATGAGAAGCTGGCAGGTTCAGGTGAGGAGGGGTGGACAGGAGTGGGGTGGAAGGAGGGCATGGGTGGGGTCCCATTGGGACTTGTCAGCCATCCGAATGGAGATGATGGAGGTACCAGCAAGAGCTGGTAGTGGGGATGGTTAGCTTAGCCCTGTGGAGAAGGTCCAGACCCGGGTGAGGGAAACCCTCTCAGCCCCACACATGCTGCATACCACCCCTGCACCACGGGTGGGACCAGCAAAAGGAGCCAAGGCTCAGGCTGCAAGGAATCCTCTGCAGCCCCATCTACCCGAGCAGACCAGTCCCACACTTGTCCAATACCCGCTTAAGAGGTCAGTGCTAGTTCTAATGCTAGTCTGCATATGGAAGAATTCATTCACCTCGCAGAGCCTGCCTGTGGGACCTGACAGCAAGGCTGTCTTCCATGACAGGACAGGGAGGATGACTGAGAGGGAGAATGTCAGCACCCAAGGCTGGGATCAGGAGAGCTGAAATGGGCCAGGGACTGACTTAGAGATGGGAGACGCTGTGTATAACAGAGCTGAGGGCTGGAGGGACACGTGGCGTGGACATGGAAGAGAGGAAAGGAACAGGCTGGGCCTGTCTCCTGCTTGGCTCTGCTCCATTAGCTGGCAAAGAATCTAGAATGCTTGTTGGCTTCATTCTGGAACTCAAGACCACACCAGCAAATTGAGGCGACCCTAGTATTGGGGACTGCAGCCCTTCAGATATCTCTCTCTCTCTCTATATATATACATACATACATACATACTTACATACACACACACATGCTTGCTGGTCCTAGAACTCTTGGCCTGGGTGTTGTCATTGAGCTGCTTTTATTTTGTTCAAGGCAGGTGCTCTACCACTTGAATCATAGTGCCACTTCCGCTTTGAGTAGTTTATTGGAGATAAGAGTCTCAAGGACTTTCCTGCCCTGGCTGGCTTCAAACCGTGATACCCTGAGTAGCTCGGATTATAGGGATTATAGGCAGGAGCCACCAGCACCCAGAATATCACTGATCTTTAACATCCAGATTATTCCCAGTTCAGTCTCTGTCAAGGGCAACCTAGGTGCACCTTCCTCTGTATTTTTTCACTGTTAGTGATTTTTCATGGGGCTCCAGGGACTGCTGATGCCCTGGGATCATGGATCCTTCTACTAGGTTATGGTAGATTCCTAGGTGGGGGACTGCATCTAAGCTGCCTTGATTTCTCTACAGCCCAACACATAGTAGGTGTTCCACAAGACTTCTTTTACCTCTGCTTTAGCTTCTTTGGGTTCTTCCTTACCTTCTCTTCCTCCCCCATGGCCATGCTAGTCTGCAATGAATCCCATGCATTTCTCTCCCCTGGGCCCTACCCCACTCTACCTGCTGGGAGGCTCCCACTGCTTCACGGGGTCATGGCTGGTGAGGCTCTTCAGGCACTTTGTCCCACTGGACTCGTCTCGCTCCGTCTTTACAAAGTCTGGAAAAAAGGTCCAGAAAAGGGTACCTGAGGGCCAGGTCCCCAGAGTTTGGGCCAAGGGATGGCAAAGTAGTGTCTATTTGCGGACTGATGCTGGACAGTAATTAGTGGTACTGGGACAGAAATATTTTAAGCAATACTCTAAAGTCTGAGAACTGTCAGGTTCAGCAATCGATTGGTTATGCCTGCCTGGGATCCAGCATTAGAAGAGTGGGCACTTGTGATCCACAGTTGTCATTTAATGTGAAGGTGGGTCAGGGTGCCCAAAACGCGCTCTTGCTTTTTCCCCCCCATTGTTCTAGAGAGAGTCGTGGTATGTAGTAGCCTTGAACTCAAGATCCTTCTGTTTCACATCTCCTGAGTGCTAGGATCACAGGGACACATCACTGTGCATGCCTTTGATGGATCTTGTCCAAAAGGGATCTATTCTGAGGCCACAGCAGAAAGAACCATCCAGGGCTTGGCTGAGAGAAACCATTTACCCGTCCCTCATGCCGCTGTCAGTCAGGAGGGCAAAGGGGGGGGGCTTGCTTACCATACAGCTTCTCCCTCTTCTTGCCCTGCGAGGTCTGCAGCTTGATTTCCCCTCGGAAGTGGCCCATCATCTCTCCGTGGTGGGTGAGAGATGTGTAGATGGGCATCTGAGTCTCTATAGCCTCCAAACGAAGGGCAATGCAGCCCTCACCTGCGGGGAGGGGAGATGACAGTCCCCATCGAGACCTGGCCACCAAGGACTGAGCTCTATGGCTGCAAGAGTCCTTTGAAACCATTGCGCAGGCCAGGGGATTAGTTGGTAAACCCTCTGGACCGCACCTCAGCAATTGGGGCACACAGCTTAAACCTCACAGCAAAAGAAACTCTTGGATTAGTCAATGTGAAAAGAAAAATTAAATCCGAGAAAAATCCATCAGCAAAACAGACTTAAATGCTAATCTGATTGCTCTAGGAGAGGCTAACGTCCCAGGGTTTGGAACACTGTAAACCTTGTTTCAACAAATAAGATGAAGCTAAGTTGAAAACTTCTGCCGAGGGCTGGGAAGGTGGCTCAGTGGTAGAGTGCTTGCCAAGTTATGCATGAAGCCCTGGGTTCGATTCCTCAGTACCATATAAACAGAAAAGACTGGAAGTGACACTATGGCTCAAGTGATAGAGTGCTAGCCTTGAGCAAAAGAAGCTCAGGGACAGTGCCAAGGTCATGAGTTCAAGCCCCAGGACTTGCAACACAAACAAACAAGCAAAAGACAAAAGTAAAATGTAGACTGTCTGGAATGGTGAGCAGCCATCTGGGAGAGGCTTAAAGCTTTGCACTGTCAGCTAGGAACTGACTAGACATAAGAGAGGCACAACTCACAGAGGCACTGTTTATTGTTGTTTTATTTGTGTGCTGGTCCTAGGGCTGGAACTCAGAGCCTGGGCACCGTCCCCTAGCATTTTCATTCAAGGCTGAAGCTTATACAATCCTTGAATCATAGCTCTACTTCTGGCTGTTTGCTGATTCACTGGAGATGAGCGTCATGTGACCCAGGCTGGCTTTCAACCTCAATCCTCAGATCTTGGTCTCCCCAGTAGCTAGGATGACATGTATGGAGCCAGACCTGGGTTCAGTGAAATGTGGCAAGTCACATGACTTCTCTAGGCCTCAGTGCACTTGCTCATCTGTGTAGGGAGCTGGAGCTGCTTTGTAAGACCTGGCCAGGATTAAATCAGTACCTGCCATGGATCTGACACATAGGAAAGGCTCACTAAGTAGAAGTCTTGGGGCAGGAAAGATAAAGGTCCTTATAACAGTCTCCCAATGGGGTGAAGGAGAGGCAGGAGGGTGGGATGGGTTGGAGAGGCAGGAGGAAGGGATGAGGAGGAGCAGATGGGTTCTCCCCAGGATAGATGCTACCACCTCAGTCACTTCAGAGGCAGGTGTGGTACCTGGGCCAGGACACTTACCATAGGATTCATCACTGTCAGAGGACTTAATGCTAATCAGGATATGTTGGTCCAGTAGGTACTCAGGGTCAGAGATAATAGGCTTCAGCTGCAGAAAGGAGGAACTGGATTAGAGTCTACAGGGGCAAGCAAGCGAGGACACACACAGGTGGAGGAGGGCCACTGGTCTCCACGGGGGAAATAAGTAGGATTAAAGATGTCCTTATCAACCAGACTCCAGTCTCAGCTCCTTAAGTACCTCCTCAAGGTGCATTTGTGTACTCTTCTGGCTCAAGTGGAGTTAACTTTCTGCTCTGTCCCCTACCACCCGAACCCAGGCCTCCTATACTGGGCTGAGCAACTTAGCTGGGCTGACAGACACAGACTCCCAGGTTCCCAGGAGGAACCTCGAGGCACACACCAGCTCCTACGTGCTAGAGAAACTCAGGCCACTTTCCAGCCCCTCTACCACAGATGGGCTTTGGATCAGGCCACAAGCTGCTCTACGCTGTTTCTTCTCTTCCACACATCGGGGAAAGGCTCTGAGGTCATGTTTGGACATCAGGATGGATTTGGATTTGCACTTCCTCTGTTCCAGAGGGAATATCTGGAAATCTCTTGGGAATAATCTGGGTTTTGGGGACTGCAGATTTCTGGGAGGTGGGGGGGGGACAGCAGGAAGACAGGAGGCGCTGAGAGACTCCTGAGGGAGGGGAGGGGACAGCGGCAAGAGGAGCAGCGGGTCCTGGACACCATCTCCCAATGTGTCTCCTGTGGCCACGCTCTGTCCCAGCGTGAACATGGCCCAGGGACCAGCATGCTGGTGTCTCTGAACGCCAAAGGAGGAAACACTAATTCAAGCCTTGTGTGGGAAAGGAAAACTAGAGGACAGGGTCCAGCTGGGTGGGGTGGAGACAGCTCCTGGGAGGCCAGAGTCTTGAGGATGTGGAGATCTGAGATGTCCCCAGTCAGAGCCATCTGAACAAGCTGAGTGCACAAGTAATTGGAATTGCACCCAGATCAGAGAATTCTAAAGCTCTGGCCTCTGTCTCTGCTCTTGAGAAAATATGGCCTTCTTACACAGCAAGAGCTGGGTCGGGTCAATGCTTCATGCTAGCCTAGGAAGCCAACCCCACGAACCTGCGTACGACCCGCCCCAGCCCCAGGAGAGGCTGAGTCTCTCCACCCGAATACAGTTATCCTTTATTATTTTGGGCTGGTGAGACAGGCTTTGACTATGGAGCTCAGACAGGCCTCCTCCTGCCCCGCCTCCCCAGTGCCAAGCTTAGAGGCACACCCCACTACATCCAGCTTAAAGGCCATCCGTTAAAATTCACTTAAAGTGCCGGGTACTGGAGACTCAGGCCTATAATCCTAGCTACTCAGGAGGCTGAGCTCTGAGAACTGCAGTTCAAAGCCAGGCTGTCAGGAAAGTCCATGAGACTCTTATCTCCACTTAACCACCAAAAAGTCAAAGTGGCGCTGTGGCTCACATTGTAGAGTGAAAAATAAAAAACTGGAGGGGCAGTAACCAGGCCCTGAGATCAAGCACCAGTACCGACACGAAAAGCAATCAAGGCATGCCCGTTTCCTTCTGGGTGGTACCTGTGTGTGACCTTGCCAGGGGAGCCTCTGAGCCCCTGCCTCTGGCGATGGGTCCCCCCACTTCCTTGTACCCTCTTCAGTATGATGTGTAAAACAGTCTAGAGCACAACCTCCAGAGTCACGAAGGAAAGCTGGTATTCAATGACGACAAACCCAAACCAGTTAGTCTGGTTCTACCAAAGTTAAGCACAGACAGTGCTTGAAATCCAGTAAACCTAAAAGCTCCTTTCCTTCCTCTCTTCCTTCCTTAGTTGGTATCAAGAGACTTGAACTTAGAGCCCTTTTTTTTTTTTAGTCAGTCATGGGGCCTGAACTCTGGACCTGGGCGCTGTCCCTCAGCTCTTCAGCTCAAGGCTAGTGCTCTGCCACTTGAGCCACAGCGCCACTTCCGGCTTTTTTTCTTTTTTCTTTTGTGGTGCTGAGAAGTCGAACCCAGGGCCCCATGCCTGCAAGGCAAGCACTCTACCACTGAGCCACCTTCTTAGTCCGAACCCTGCATTCTTGCTTGACATTTTTTTTGGGGGGGTCCAGTTGTGGGGCCTGAACTCTGGGCCTGGGCACTGTCCCTCAGCTTTTCAGCTCAAGGCTAGTGCTCTACCACTTGAGCCACAGCGCCACTTCCAGCTTTTTTCTTTTTGCTTATGTGGTGCTGAGGAATCGAACCCAGGGCCTTATGCATGCAAGGCAAACGCTCTACCACTGAGCCACCTTCCCAGCCCTTGCTTGACATTTTTGCTCAAGGATGGTACTCTACCACTTGAACCACACTTCCCACATCTGGATTTTTGCTGGAGATAAAGAGTCTTGGCTATGTCTGCTTGGGTTGATTGCAAACCTCAACGATCAGATTTTAGCCTCTTAAAGTGGCTAAGATTACAGGCGTGAGTTACCGGCACCCAGTTTTCTAGGAGGTTTTATTCTCAAAGCAAAATTTAATAAACATAGTCCATAAATACTGTTATGAATATCCCAATGCCGGTGGCATTTGAAAGGCCCCCCCGCCCCCCCCTGCAGTAGAAGAGAGGAGGAACATCAGGGTCTCTTATGGCCCTGTTGAAAAGCAGGCAGTAAGCCACCTTGGGAGCTAGTTCTGGGCCTCCTGTACAATGGTGCCTCCCTCTACTCTGGCCCAGCCTCAGCAGTGAATTACCTTGGGAAGGGTCTCATCAAACCTCACCACCAGCTCTCCTTCATGTCCCTCTTCATTCTCTCCTTCCTGACTCTTGACAAAACCTGTTGGAGGACAAGAAGAATAAGGATCTGATGCAAAAGATCTCTCCCCTCCTGCTAAGTCTTGGGGGGGAGGAAGGGCACCAGTAGCTCATGCCTAATATAATCCTAGCTACTCAGGAGGCTGAGATCTGAGGATCATGGTTTGAAGCCAGCCAGGGCAGTTTGTGAGAGTCTTATCTCCAACTAACCCCCAAAAAGCTAGAAGTAGAGTAGTGGCTCAAGTGGTAGAGTGCTAGCCTTGACCCAAAAATGCTCTAGGATAGCACCCAGGCCCTGAGTTCAAGCTCAAGGACTGGCACGCGCACACATGCACACAAACATGCATGCACACACCACACACACACACACAAAATCTTTGGTGGTGCTTTAATGCCATATAGGAATCAGTCTTGCTGGGGAATTCTGTTTTTGTGCCGGGGAAGGGGGTGGTGTTGGTGGAGGGGATGGTCATTTGCCAATACTGTCTAATTATTTTTAGGAAAATCAAAGAAAGGCCTCGTTCTTTTCGGCTCCTCTCTGCAATAAACCAGGCCATGAAGAAGTCATCACATGGCAGGCAAGATTGGGAAGCTTGACAGCTTGTCCCAGCCACTCAAGATAGCAGCCTTTTGAAATTCTAATTTAAGCTTCCTAATGTGCTGTTTCCATAGAAATGTATGCAAATGTCTCCACCGTTTATTAAAAACACCCGCACAAAAACCTTCATCCTTTTTGGAACTGCTTTGACCCTGCCTGCTGGTTTCAGGGATTTGGTGGCAAAGGTTGTTCTACTCCCAGGACTGAGGCCAGAGAGGTCAGAGACGGAAGGGGTGAAGGGTCACAGCTCAGGGGCTCCCCATTTCTGGAAGCTTCGTTCACATCCATGCCTCTGTCTGTAGAGGTGGCTTCATCTCCTCCCTGTACCTCTCCACACCATCCCAGTGAGAACTGGGAACTGTGGAGACTGAGGTACTATGCCCAGAAATGCTGTCCAGAGAGGGTGCTTCCTAAACACGGTGCGTGCTGAACACTGCTGGCTGAGAAGGCACTGTCCAACCCTGGATGCCGCAGGTCACCCGAAGAAGGGGTTGTGGTGTCAAAAGGGGCAGGGCTCACAGCTCTGGGGTGCCTCTCTCCTGTCCTCCTGCAGCTCAATTCTTTTTGTGCCGGTCCTGGGGTTTGAACTTGGGGCCTAGGTGCTGTCCTTGAATTCTTTCTGCTCAAGGCTAGTACTCGATCACTTAAGCCACAACTCCACTTCTGGCTTTTTTGGTACTTAATTGGAGATAAATAAGAGTCTCACAGACTTGCCGGGAGCTGGTGGCTCACGCCTATAATCCTAGCTACTCAGGAGGCTGAGATCTGAGGAGTGCAGTTCAAAGCCAGCCCAGGCACAAAAGTCCGTGAGACTCTTATATCTAATAAACCACTAGAAAACTGGAAGTGGTGCTGTGGCTCAAGAGGTAGAGCACTCGCCTTGAGCTGAAGAACACAGGGACAGCGCCCAAACCCAGAGTTCAAGACTCACGACTGACAAAAGAAAAAGTCTCACAGGCTTTTCTTGTTGGGGCTGGCTTCAAACTGTGATCCTCAGATCTCAGCCTTCTGACTAGCTAGGATTACAGGAGTGAACCACTGGTGCCCGGCCTGCAGCCCACTTCTATGGAGCCCCACCTTCGAGTCCTTTGCAGAGGGCAGAAATGGGGAGAGACACCATTTCCAAGAATCGTGGCCTCCCCTACCCAAAGGGCAATTCAAGGGCAACTTACTCTCTAAGCAGCTCGAGTGGAACTCCAGGTAAAACTTGGTCTGGGATTTGGTCTTCAGCGTGGCACAGCATGCGATGAACTCAATCTGCCCTTGGCTGTTCACAGTGCCAGGCCCTGGAACAGGGGAGAATAGCAGTTCAACTGCACAGCCTGTCTGGAGAGGAAGCATCTTCTAGCAGTTTCTCTTTCCTCTTGGAGCTCACTGCCCTTGCTGAGCTGCTCCCAGGGTCTGAGGAAGGAGTCTTCAGGTGGAAGGAATTTTCCTTGAAGCAACGCTGCCTTGTCTCCCCCTCCCCGCCCCCGCCTCGGAGCGTACCCCATCGCTACAGCCTTTCTCATCAGCCACAGGCTGGCCATATGGGGAGCGGGTGAAAGGGTACAGTTACTTCAAGGAGCCAAGACCGGACCTCAGCTTCGCCACTGAAGCCATGTGACTTCCTCAGTGGTCTCCCCACTATCTTTGCTGTCTCCCCTCTGTTCTGATAGAACCATCAGAATCCTGTTCTGATGGACAGTGTGTACAATGGCTCAGACATTCAACTCTGTCCAGTTCCTGAGTCCAGGTAGAAGAGGCATGGTTTTTCTTTTTCTCCCCTTCCCCCCCAGTCATGGGGCTCGAACTCAGGGTCCAGGTGCTGTCCCTGAACTCTGAACACATTTTGCTCAAGGCTGGCACTCTACCACGTGGTGCCACAGCTCTACTTCTGGTTTGGGGTTGGTTAGTTGTAGATAAAAGTCTCACAGACTGGCTGGGAAGGTGGCTCAGTGGTAGAGCGCTTGCCTTGCATGCCTGAGGCCCTGGGTTCGATTCCTTAGCACCACATAAGCAAAAAGAAAAAAGCCGGAAGTGGCGCTGTGGCTCAAGTGGTAGAGCGCTAGCCTTGAGCTGAAAAGCTGAGGGACAGCGTTCAGGCCCCACAACCAGACCCAAAAACAAAACAAAACAAACAAACAAAAAAGTCTCACAGACTTTCCTGCCTGGGCTGGTTTCAAGCCATGATCCACAGATCTCAGCCTCCTGAGTTGCTAGGCTACGGGTGTGAACCACCAGCACCTGGCTGGTCTTTCTCCGTAGGTATGGTCTTAACTAGTCCTCACTGGGCTCCAGAAACTCACTGGCAGTGCAGCTAATGTGCTGCATTGGGCAACCCAGCTAACTGGGTTAATTCAGGTGGTGCTCTTATAGGCGCCCGTTCTCAAGCTGGCTTTAAACGAGTGTTCTGTCCTGTATTAATTCTAAGCCAGCCAAGAGTGAGAAGAAACATTTTCTTCTTCTTTCCCTTCAATTCTTCCTTCGTTCCTTTCTCCTTCCAAATACTAGAATAGCACCTGGGATGGCTTCTTCTCAAGCCAAGCTGGGCACCAGTGGCTCATGCCTGTAATCCTAGCTACTCAGGAGGCTGAGATCTGTAGATTGCAGTTCAAAGCCAGCCTGACATTAAAAAAAAAAAAGCCAGAAATAGAGCTGTACTCAGGTGATAGAACACAGCGAAGGGACACAGGATCTGAGTTCAAGCCCCAATACTGGCACATACACAAGCAACAAGAAAAAATTCTCTGCACTGAAACTGAGGTGTCACCTGGACACGACATGATTGATTTGATTGATACACCATGGACTTCCCAGAATGGTGGACCTTCTCCCAAACAAACATCTGATTGCCACAACTGGAGACAAGTGTTCACAGTCTTGTCACTGGGGGAAAGGCCACTGCTTACTGCTTACCGTTCTTGGAGACAAACTGGGAGGTGACTCCTGCCTCAAACGTGGCAAATACAGGGCTGTGGTCGCTGGTCATGATGTCACTGGTGCAGCCTGCAGGGCATGAAAGGCATTTCTGAGTAGGGATGGATTAGTTCTTCTAGTCAAGGCCTCGTTGGCAAACTCAGGGCCAGGGGCAGGCTGAGATCCACAGCTGGCAACTTTGAGACCAGGAAGCAAAGAAGCCTGAACTAGCCTGCTGGGTCACATGAGTTGGCACCCCCACCCCGGCCACCCCCACATCTGAATGGCTCCTAACTGATGCAGAAGCAGCCCACCCCACAGGACAGGCTGTTTTAAGACACTGGCTTGCAAGGTAGTTTATTAGGTAACAGTGGATGGCTGGGTCGGTAGCTCTAAGTCCCACATCCAGGACAACCTGAGTTCCTAAGTTCTGGACTCCCTTTTCTTTCCCATCTTCTTGCTTCCCTCCATTGCAAACTCATCAAATTGATACTTTGCCTTCAGGCATTTAAGGAAAATACCATTAGCAGATTGTGCTGTCTCTTAGGCCTTCTCTTCATGCTCTAAGCCTGGACCTCCATGAAAGATTTCAGCCTCATGGATGGGGGGATGTGTGTGTGTGTGTGGGGGGGGGCTTTTCTCTCTGTTCTCTGACATCTCCTGGTTCTCTGGTGTGATGGAGGCAGGTCCTAGAGGCAGGACTCAGCAGCATCTGGGCAGAAGGATTTTGCTGTGACTAGCTCTGTGCCTGATGGGGAAGGGGACATGGGCATGGATAGCTCAAATGTGGAAGAGGAGAGGGAGGAGGCAGCAGGCAGAAGGTGGGAAGTAGGCATTTCAGAGTTGCAGGGTGGGGTGATGACTTGGCTGGGGCTGGGAGGGACGCTGCCATTCTGCACAGCTAAAGGTGTAGTGTGGGGTCACTTCTGGGAGTCTGAGCTCTGGAGCAGAGGGAATGAAGGGCGAATAGAGGCTAACCTGTCCCCCAGGTGGTTGCTCTGGTCCTTTCTGATAGCAGTGATGAAGAGATGGAAAATGGGGCTACCTTGTAGGACCACAGCTATATGTAGGGATTTGCTGATCTCCAGAAATTATCTTAGAGGTTGTGAGTCCAAAGGTGACCTTTGAGTGGTGGCAAGATTCCCCTCTTCCACATCTCCTCACTCTGAGGAGTGAGATGGGGCTGGTGACCTGGATGGACAGGCCTAAGGTCATGAGCTGCCCGTCAGCAGACCCTGAGCCATGTGTTGCGCATGTGTGATGCATCATGGGAGCAGAGCAGCCTTTCTTGTAGATACCAATGTCTGGGAATGTGCAATGCTTTAAATATATACTGTGATACTCAGTAAAAGCCTTTTTCTCCAAAAGTAATTTCACTTGGAAGATCTTACTCAGTAAGAAATGGGAATTTGTACTAAAAGGTTCTTAAGAATAAACACACAAGTCATTAAAAATTCCAGCATCCTTTAGAGTACAGGGTCAACAATGATTTCTTTCTTCTTGTTTTTTTTTTTTAAGTGATTGGTTGTGGGGCTTGAACTCTGGGCCTGGGCTCTGTCCCTCTTTAGCTCAAGGTGAGCACTCTACCACTTAAGCCACAGTGCCATTTCTGGCTTTCTGAGTGGTTTATTGGAGATAAGAGTCTGATGGACTTTCCTGCCTGGGCTGGCTTTGAATTGTGAGCCTCAGATCTCAGCCTGCTGAGTAGCTAGGATTACAGGTGTGAGCCACCAGTGCCCAGCTTAACAATGATTTCTTAATTACCTTGAGAACTTATGCCACAATCATTCACTTACAATGGAATGTTATGTCTTCCTCACCAACTTAACTCAGCCTGACTCTATACCTTCTCAAGTATAAATGTGTTCAATGAGGACATGACTTCTCCTGTCCTAGCTGAATGTTCCCAGCCTTTGAAAGCCAGATCTAATATGGTTCTTCTCAAAAGAAATAATGTGCCACCTTTTCTTGGTACCAGTCCTG